TAGAAGGATGTTTCCACATTCATCTGCTGAAAGTGGAAAGTTTCTCTGAGCTCATTGAAAATATGATTTTAAGGGGCCAACCAATAGTTTGGAAGTCAACCCTGGTCCAGTATGAAACTTCTACAGTCTGATGTAGAAACTGAAGAATGGACAGTGAAGTAAAAGACATCTTGTGTCCAGCAGGGAAACGTTAGAAATGATTATTCATAGCTTCTTAATGAAGTAGAACGAGAAGATGACTTTTTAAGGATTTTGAGAAAAACATATCAGGCACACATTAGTGTTCCAAGCTGACTATTTGTATATGTCTTAGTACATGTCTGGAGGGGATCTTTTAATAAATAATGAATGGAGATCTGCTTGGGTTTAAATTGAGCTTCTCTCACAATAATATTTTCTCCATAATTAGTTCCATATTATAAAGTTCTTTTCAGGAAACAGCAGACATTGGTTGCTTAAAGTTCTGCTTTCTCTGTAGCAAACACTGCAAACTGATTAAATGCCTCAATGGAAAAAAAGCCTCAGTAATCATAATAACGTGTCAAGCACAGAAACACTGTATTAGCAAACAACAGCAGTCACAAGAGACCATTGAGATGAACATTACTCTTGAATAAATTGGTAAATTTGGATACTGAATAGCTTCATAAATGTTTTTGTCCACTGCTGTATAACATATTTTCCTTCCTGGCTATGTCTGCCTTGTAAGTTTTATTTCTATCCTAAGTTATGCAAGGTTTGGACATCAAACATGCACTTGTCTTTATGTTTCTATGTGGAGTCCTGTTGCTATCTGTGGAATAACTTCACTAACTGGTTATTAAAGGCCAGTTAGACTTTCAGATAGTCTAAAAGAATAAAATACTGTAAGTTATGTTCACTATCAGGGGTTTCCAAACCCTGAAAACAAAGCAATTTCTCCTCGTGAGCCATCATAACTGGTTGCATATGTCTACTGGTTGTGATGAGGTTTACAGGTTTGGGAATCACTCCTCTATATGACTCTGTATGAAAGTAGTGCAGCAATAATCTGCATCAATAAAGTGAAAGATGAGCCCAAGATCATTTAATGAAGCTATAAATGCATGAAAACACAGATTAAAGCGTCGTATGCACCAAGAACTAAATTATAACATCAGAGTCTGGGTTGCTGAGAATAGAGCAATTAGGACTGTATCTCGTTTTCAAAAAATTTGCTCGCCACTACAACATCAAACCAGCTTGTACGGCCTGGCTCTGTGCCTGTGAATCTGCCTTCAGCCATTAGATGTGCACAGAAAAGCAACAGAAGGAGTATCCATTCGACAAATCCCTGTATTGACCCCCCGTGGCTGGAGCATCTGCTGTTTTCTACTTTGGCTATAGACCTGAGTATCTATGTCAAAGACAAAAATAGTTCCACTGAGAAGGTCAACTATGGCATTACGTCACTTGGTTTTTTCTCCGTTTTTAGAAAAATTGGGGGCACGTTAAAAGGATGTCTGTCACATATTTATGCCAATTTTGAAGTGTGAAAATGTACTTTGTTATGCTACAGAGATTTTTAAATGCTTTATCTTTTCTACCACTTTGATTAATTTAACTGAATTAAACATATGGAGGTTAATAAACTTTTTAAGCTCTCCAACATCTTGTGAGGCAAAGTTTCTTCAAAGAAGATCCAAGCAGGAAGACCTTAAGGTGAGAAGATTGATACTACTGTGTAAACTACCACTGTTCAACAGGCAGACTGAGTGGGACAAGGAAAGTTTATTGTATGTATATTTTCTGATCTGAAGGTAGTGCTGTTGTGCTGCCACGCTTTAATGGCGATGGCAAGAATAGCAGTATCTTTAATCAAGTGAATTAGTGATGAATCCCCCTGTGCTGCTTTACTTCAGGGAGTAATGATCATTATGAAATTAGCATAGAAGAGGTGCAGATTTTACAATCAATACACAGATTACAGGGTAAAACAACTACATAATTATGCATTTTCAGTGAAGTATTAATTATTCTTTACTCCCTACATTGGTGAAAATTGGACAACTCAAGTCATTGCCTTCGCTATCCTAGGAAGAAAGAAAATCAGCTTGCAGAACAGTACTGAATGACGTACATGAGAGGGGCAGGGACGCTGGGAGTCAGTCAGATTTGGGGGTGCTGAGAGAAAATCTGTCCATATAATGACCTCATACTAAATGCTGAATACATGATATTCATTGTTTTTATAGTTAATCTGAATGATCAAGATCATTTATAGCCTTTTTATTAGTTATTAACTTACTTACCTATTCAGAACTGCATACCCCACTTAACTCTCTACATTGGTCATTTTCCTGTTGTTTCTTATTTCTTACTGTTTTTTATTTTTATGTATTGTACAGTGTTCCTTTAAATAAAATGTATTATTATTATTATTATTAACAACAACAACAATTCACCCAAATCTTACAACTAGAAGTGGATAAAACTGTTTTTTTTTTTAAAAAGGCAAAACCTTGTTTCCTGTCATAAATACCAGTGAACATGTAAAGTAAAGGGGGGAAAGGATAAAGTCATAGGTTTAAACATTTTTATGAACTAATGGTTTTAATAATGCCAGTTTTTAGGGGGTGCTGCAGACCCCTCAGCATGTAAGTGGATATAGTCCATATATCTGAGTGTATTCTGCACTACACCAGTTGTTCACAACCTTTTTCCTTAAGGGACCCCTTTTCTATCATTGAGTCTACAGACGACCACTGAATTAGTGATGTATTTTATGTATATTTCAGTTAGTTAGAGAACCACTGCACTACACTACCCTCTACATCTGCCTCTGCTAATTACACAACATTTAAAAACACTGAGTCTATATCCAGAGGGAGGCAGTAATGCCAACTGCTCTTTGTTTGGTCTGTTTGGTGCATTTATATCTATTCAGTGTTGGTGAAGTTATCAGAGTTTATTCCTGTTTAGTTTATCTATTTTATGGCTCCAGGACTTCGTAAATAGTTTCTTTCATTTTGGGGTGATGAAGAAGATAAAGGTTTTTGGAAGTTTAGATTATTATTTAAGCTCTAAACTTTGAAGAGCTGAACACAAACTATATTCACAGAGCTTTCAGTCTCTGATGCCTCGTCCTGCATTAGAAAAGTACAGAGTAAGGAGACCAGATAGCTCACCTGGTAGACCCGGCGCCCCATGTACCAAAGGATGAGTCCAACCTGTGTGTCATTTCCTCTCTCTCTCCCTTCTCTTTCCTGTCACTCTTCAGCTGTCAGTATCCATTAAAGGCATAAAAGCCCCCCAAAAATATATGTTTATTAAAAAAAAGAAAGAAAAGTACACAGTTGAAACAACCAAAGAACTAACAGAACAATGGCTGAGCTTCAGGGAGAAGAAAACACAGAATTTGTCAAAAAAAGAAGTCTATAAAGTTTATTTATTTAAAAAAAAAACACATAATACAGACAGAGAAATGTATAAAAAGTTCCTAAAATATCAGAAAAACTTACCTTTGATCAATACTCACTCTCAAAATGTGTCCAAATCACTAGTTTTACACAAACTTCCTGCAGTTGTAATAAACACAAAATACATCACTAATTAATCATCAGTTTAATCAATGATAGAAAAAAAAGGTTGGTCCCCCCACTGGTCCAGCCTATCTCAGAGAAGTGCAGGGGGCGTGTTGGATCCAGTGTCCCTGAACGTCACACGGAGGCTGCTGTCTCTTTAATGAAAAAGTTCAACGTCCAACAAAAGTCTGTCGGGCAGCAAAATGGACCTGAGGGAGCTGACTGTGAACGCGTTGGCCCAGAATAAGAGAGCCGCTCTCCTCCTGATCGGCGGAGCTGGCGTTGCTGTTCTGGGATTTGGTCTCGGATATAAATACCTGCGAAAGCCAGAAAAAGTTGTGCGTGTGGGCGTCGTGTCGCAGCTCCTCATTCACCCTCTGAAGTCTGGCAGAGCAGTGTCTGTGGCTCTCGCAGAATGCCAGGAAATGGGTCTGAAGTTTGGAGAGCTGCAGGATCGGTGAGTACAGGAGGTTAAAGTCAGTGTGCAGAGTGAAATTAAATGACCTGTGCAGACAGAAAATAAAAGAGATGGTGAGAAATGGTCACACAAACAACACCTATTGTCTATTATTGCAGGACTTTTACCCAATTTGGAGGAACTTTACTTTACTTGAATATTGTCAACTTGTGCTACTGTATACTTTTACTGCACCATATTTAACAGATAAATATGATTTTGCTCTACTATATAAGTTAATTGATCAACTTGCACAATATGATGCATTATTATTAAATTGATGGCTGGTTAGACTTGACAGGAGGTAAACTAAGAGAAGATAATTGTGGGTAATGTAGTCTTTTAATGACCCCACAGTTTATAAAATAGTTTAAATTATGTTCACCTTAACCTGCTTTATTAATGCATCTCACGTTAACTCATCAATGGTAATCAGCCTAATATATTTAGTATGGAGACACAGAAGTGACAAAAATAAAATGTTTATGTTGTTGCACAAAAATATATATTGGGACCATAATTCAGTACTCTAAAAGGGACCTTTCTATTGTTACTTTTGAATTTTACTCAATATCTAATAAATCTCACTTATAATCAACATTTTTATCCGTATGATATCATTTGTGCATCCCTGCTAGTAAGAAAATCATTGATAATGAACAAAAATGGAATAGGTAGACCGAGCTATAACTTCATTTGCTTTTAGTTACGCACCATCTGGTGGGTTGAGAAACATTTTCCTCTCTCCAAATGTACATTCAGTGTAAAGCAACTTACAAGTACTGTTGCATAGATTGCACTCAATGGCTCTTTAATTTGGGTTTGCAAAGTAATCCTCCTTTGCTGCGTCTCAATATTAAACTTATTTATGAACGTTTGTGGAGGCTGAAGCGGGTCTACAACCGTGGAGGCTTGTTGGAGGTAAAAATAATATTAAAAAACGATGCCCACCCCAGCAACAGCCTGTTCACCCTGCTGCCATCTGGCAAGCGATACAGAAGTATCGACTACAGGGCAGCTTTTTTGTTCATCCTCCGCACTCCACTATTAAAAAAATTTTTTTTCCTTGTGTGGCATAAAGGGACTTCAACTCGTATTTTGTTGTGCAATCCGTGTTGTAGAATGATAAATAATGAACCGTGGACCCTGGAATTCCCCATATTTCATCAAATTGTCCAAACATTGACATCACAAACACATGAGGTCAAACATAAGGAAGTTTTGCAGTGTTTAAAAACAAACCTTAAGCTCTGGCTGCAGCACAAAATGTCACCACCAATGTTTTCTTGGTCTTTTATTATCATATTGATAATATATATTATCTCACACTGATGGACTTTTATGTATTGTGCTGTTTTATGTGTATTTACTGTGGTCCTTTATTGTCTCCCTGCTCAGGGACAACTGATGCAGATTAGCCGTTAACTACTTTTAATTGTGCTCTGTCCCCACAAAAATAAACAAAGAAAAGAAAAGAAAGAAAGAAGGAGAATTTTCATCCAATTTTCACCCAGATCTTTTGAAATGCATCTAAATGTTGTTGTGGTTTTGTGCTGCACAAGGATGCTGACCACTGGTTCACTGTAAACATGGTCTTTTTGTACCACCACAGCTCAGAAAATGCTTCTGGTGACAGAAAGGGAAGAGAAACATTTGGAGAAAATGCAAACATGCTGCTGATTATGCACCAGAATCCCTCAAAATGACAAAAAAACAATGGAAATTAGTTATATTTCTAACTTGTTTCTAACTTGTTTGGGTTGCCCCCTTTTTTTCAATTAATATGTATTTGTCGCAGTGTTTCAAATAAATGCTTAAAATAAACAGTGTTTGACCAATAAATGCTTCTTTCACCTGTTATTAAACATGATTATATTAAAAATAAATGCCAATACATTCCCAGATTTCTCCAGCAAATAATTAATCTTAATTATTCAATCAATTATCAATTATTTAAAAGCAGTGTTGCAACCATACAAGAAGCTCAAAGCAAGCCAAACGTTCCCACTGACACATAAATGTGCACACACGTGGGCACACACAGCAATGTCTGCGTCCTGCAAGAAGTGATTGATGATTTCAGGAAGGGGCTCTTGGGCAGAGGAAGTCCAGTCTGGGTCAGACTTCATCGACACATCTAGGCTTGAGCACCATCTGCATGCACTCACAAGTCACACACACCGACACACACACACACACACACACACCTATACTCATTTCGACATGTGATACTGTTCCTCTCATGCTGTTTAGTATATAATGTCTTTCCTCTAGCAGCAGTGTAAATGTGTGAGAGGCGGGGAGGGGGGTGCACAGAGTTAAGGTGAGCGGAGCGAGTCGGGCACGCCGGCGCAGCGTGCACTCTACAGTTTTAGGCTCCGTGTGCCATTGTGGGCCAGCATGGGGCTGTTTTTGACAGCAGCCATTACAACAAATAATTGAACAGCAAATGAAGACAAATGATATGATTGCAGAGCGCGTCCCAGCAGTCAATCCGCTATCTAGGTGGTTCCCATTCAAAGCCATTGATCAGCTTTACAACCTAAGTAGCTGGCCAGGAAACTAAATGGTGGCGATCAATGCTATTTAACAGATTATTGACTGCTGACTGGTTGCCTGAGATCAAAATAGAGACAGGGGGATGAAGAAATAAGCAAATAGAGGAATGGAATGAAAACACATGAAATTGGAATCGGTTCCTTTGCTTCAGTGATGATAAATGGGAAAGAAAAACACTGAGACAGCAGAGAGCGGGGAGAACGAGAGAGGTTGCATTTTTTTGTGTGCGCAGCTGAATGTGCATGATCATGTGCATTTAATGAAGAAAGCAAGAAAGAAAGACAGAGAAAAAACAAAGGAAAGAATGAAAGAAAGCTCAGTTTGCATACAGACAGTATGTACCTAAAGACTCCTGTTTCAAGCTTCACATGTGACCAGATGTGGTCTCTGTACCTCTGTGTTCGAGCTTCTCGCACGCTCCCCGTGAAGGCTGCACACCTGAAAACTTCACACATCAGTCGTGCTTTTGGGAAAAATCAGCTCAACAAGGAAGAACCTCGGCAGAATCAGCCGGTACTTTCTGCTCTTCTTTGTTCAGCCAATCCTTGATGGAGCTTTCAAGTGGCGCACAAGCTGGCACATAACAACAGCCGCTTGCACCGCAATTACATCCTTTTGACTGGATGCTCCTTCACGTGTGTTTCTACTGTCTGTGTTTACAATGCATGAACCAGACCTGAGCCACCCGTCAGCTCATCAGGCCTTTGGTTGGCGGGGAGAGCTTTGTGTCTGTGCGGCTCAGTGTTGTGTGAGATCATTAGTTAATGAAAATGAGAATCAGGAGCAGAGTGAAGGTTGATCCTCCTAAAGGTTGACTTCAGTCCGAGCAGAGACTGTCATGGAATGACGGGAGAAACCTACACTGACATTTATTTGTGTGTGTGTGTGT